TGCAAGGGACTCATCAAATGTGCACCATTCCCAGCGTGACGAGCAGTGAGGGACAGGTGCTTGACGGAGTGCAGGGCTGGGAGACCCATGCTGTCTGGCCGTGGTTCTCGAGGACGGGTGGGGAGACGGACGACACACTGGGGAATAAGGCCAGGCCTCGTCTCCGATCCTGCCAAAAAACCCACGAGGTACACACTGCCCCCGTTACCCAGAGTCCTGAACCGCTCAAAATCTTCAAGGGTAACGACGTAGCCAGGAACCAACGCCCAGCTCCGGTCTCCAAAACCCACATCCCTTCCTCTACGGCACCCGAGGATCAAGAGGTCAGTCAAAGTCACAGGCTTGACCCTGTCCAGACGGGATGTTCTGGGCAGGAAGGAGCAGAAGGGAGATCCCTTCCAAAGACCTCCGGGCAGGAACCGTGTCTGAGCAAAGCCCCAAAGCATCGGTCAGAGGGGCCTCCGTGAGGGCCTCCGTCCTCGTGGCAGACACCCCGTGAAAGCTGGGAGAGGCTGGCCCTGCGCCCGGAAGCCAACTCTTGCTCCCGAATGGCCCCTCAACAGGCCTTTTGCGCTGGCGCTTGACCGAGGCACAGGTCCAACGGGGTCAGACATAGCTCCTACCTCTAACCTCTGGAAGCTGTGTCCAGATGTGGAAGCTGGCAGCAGAACTGAGGGCCCACTGGATAGTCACTGGAAGCAGAAGTGCAAGGTAGAGGTCCCGACTTCCCAAGAAGGAACCCTTACTGCGCCGGAGGCCGGACAGGCGGCCTCTGGAGCCTCTTCTGAGCCGGTGCCAGGGAGACAGTGCAGAGACGGCAAAGCCAGGCAGGCTCTGTGCGCAGGCTACCCGGCCCCTTCGAGCACAGCCCCTTTGCAAAGCATTTGCCTGGGAGCAGAGGCTGATTTAATTATTTTGTCAGGAACGCCACAAGATAAAATCAAGGCGTGGGATTGCTTTGTTGTTTCCTGGTAACCCAGCTCTCCCGGCTACTCAGGCCCTGCAACCCCAGCAAGGGCTCACAAGGGCCGAGCTGGGAGCCGGCGCTGGCACTGAGTGCGATTTCCTAATTCTCTTTGTGCTTAATAACTGACCCTTGATCATGACCGTGACGCTTCCCAGACCCTGCATCCCCTTGGAGGGGTGGAGGCACTATTACCGCGTCACCGGTGTGTGTCCCCTCGTCTTCCGATGCGGCGTGGCCGAAGCGATCCTGAAACTTTCACACGTATTATTGGTCGTGCATGTTCGCCAGTGAACCCAGAGTGGTTCTCGGGTGGGCAGTGGGAGATGCAACGCGGAAGGGAGAAGGGGCAGGCAAGAAGGGCCTGAGGGTGATGGAACCGTGGGGGGCCAGTGAACCCCGAGATCTCTGAACTGAGAACACGTGCACGAGGGCACACGGGATCCGTGTGCACGCATGGGCGGGCATGTCACATGTACCCCGGCTCCAATTGCTCAAAGGGACCAGAAAGGGCCTGAGCGGCTGGGGGCCCACCGACACCCAAGCCCTCCCCCCAGGAGAAGCCGGGCTCCCCAGATAAACAGCCGACCTGGCCAGAACAGGGAGGTACGGAGTAAGCCTTGCCACATGCTTTCCTGCCAGAAGGAAGAAAAGCTTCAAGAAAACAGCGAAGTCACAGCAAAAGGACACGGGGACCTAGCCGGACGGTTCTCACTGGCCAGATCCGGTGCACCGTGAGCACCAAGACGATTATAAACTACCGAAAGACAAGGACCCGTGCGTCCGCTGCGGTAACGGGCCCGCGTGCACGCACTGTACGTAAGATGAACACGGAATAAACCCGGCGCAGGCGCACACAGGAGCGGGCGAGTGAGCGGAGGGCGCCCGCAGGCGGCCGACCGTCCCAGCGAAGCTGTGCCTTGTGACAATCTGTAGGGCAGGCCAAACCCAGGACACCCGACGGGAGCAGGACATCTGGCCGCTTTCGTGTGGGGACAGGGGCACCACGCAGCAGAGGTGGGACGGCCCTTAGCTGAGTGTCAACGAGGAGCCCGCGGGAGCAGGGGAGTCCAGATGCGGACTCTGAATAGGGCACAATGTGTCCGTGTCCTCAGCTGGCACCGTGACCTCGATGCGGTCAGGAGCAAACGAGATCCAAAACGGGATCAGGGCATCCATCCCAAATGTCAGGCCAGAGACAGAGGGGCACCCTTTGCGAGCGTCATGGACACCTGCGAATGGGAATGGTGGAGACGCCTGGGGTCCCGGGAGCTGCCTTCTGCTGGGACCCGTCCTCGCACACCGCCTCGCCGCGGTGGGAAACGGGTTATCTGGCGTAGCTTTCGGTACGCGGCAAGTTAGAAAGAGAGGAACAGAAGTGTAGTAAAAAGTAAAGCCCAATTTAGGCGCCAGGGGACGCTGCCCAGGCCGGGCATCAGTCTCCAGGGTGGACTCTCAGGCCGACGGCCATCTCTTCCGACGTGTACGGCGCTGGGGCACCTTCACGGGGCGAAGGGCTCGGGTCCCTGGTCCCTAGCAAACGGGCTGTTCTTACCCACGTCTGCAACGCGTACGTCCTGTTTGTGACACCGAGGCTCGGAGTTGGGTGACGAGTCTGAGCGCCCAGGACCCCGCTCCCCTCCGCACCCCGCTCGACACCCGAGCCGGGAAGAGAGGCTGTGCTTCCTCACACGACGGATCGGCGGACCGCCTTTCCAGAGCCCAGCACTGAGGCCCAGCCGCTGAGCCCGTGAGCACTCCGCCTCCCGGCTTCTGGCAGGGGTGGTGGTGAGGATGGGGGAGGTCAGTCAGCCCAGTGAACACCCCGAACTGGAAGAGAGGTAGGG